TCATCATAGCTCACTGTAACCTCCAACTGCTGAAGTCCAGTGATCCTCCTGCCTTAGTCTCCCATGTAGCTGGGACTACAGGCACTCACCACCATGCCTAGCTAATTTTTTCTATTTTTTGTAGAGACAGGTTCTCACTCTTGCTTATGCTGGTCTTGAACTCCTGGCCTCAAGTGATCCTCCCACCTTGGCCTCCCAAAGTGCTAGGATTACAGGAATGAGCTACCACACCAAGCCTTTATTTCATTCTTTTAAAGATTATTTCAATTGATGTGCACCAATTCAGTTTTATGTCATTTATCCCTCTGTCAGGGTGCCTCTCCTTCCCATTAGTGAACACCTGTCCATAAACTTCCTTTAAATTGCTATTTGGAAAGTTCCCTTGTCTTTCATCTAACCTGTAGAGTACTGCTCATTCTTTTTCATGCAAATTTCCCATAATTTGAGGTAGCAGTTGAACATGTTGTGCTTCTTTATTCTGAGCTAGCTGAGTGGCTTTCCCTGCCTCTTTGGCCTCTTGAGTTTACTTTCTGTACAAAGAAAGCATAGTGAAGTTGAGGGTAGCCTTTTAGTCTTGCTTCTCTAATTTATTTTGATAAAGCCCTAAATTTGATTCTGAAACATAAACACATAAAATGTCTGAGATGAACTATAATTGACAAATTAGAAATGATGGCATGTACTACTTATATTCAGTCTGACAACTAAAGAATGTATAGGATATTTTCTGACGAAGTTGCAGTTTTTTATTAACTATTCTTTATCATCTTCTTCCCAATTAAAAAGAAAGAAGAACCCAGCAACTTGTTTTGGATAAGCTCCCAGAGTGCAAGGACTTTTGGATTTTTTGTTTGTTTTGTTTTGTTTCTTTTGTGACAGGGTCCCACTATGTTTCCCAGGATGGTCTTGAACACCTGGGCTCAAGCAGTCCTCCTGCCTCAGCCTCTTGAGTAGCTGGGACTACAGGAACGTGCTACCATACCTGGCTAGAACTTTGTTTTATGTGCCCATAGAGGGTACCTTCGTAATAAATTTTAAAATCTTCTTAAGACAGTTATGGGACATGGTACAAATGAGATGGGAGCCAAGAGATTATGTATTGGTATTCACTTATATGAAACTGAATTTTCTTATAAGTGTTTTTACAATTAATAAAAAGCACTAAGCATGTATGCTAGGCATTCTGCAGCTTGTGTCTTTGCAGGCCTAGCCAGAATGGACTGTTGTAACAGTTTTTGTTGCTCAATCTATTGCTCACTTTCTCTGGTGGTAGCCAAAGGGTAATTGTAGTCCATATACTGGAAATAGCATTTCATTTAAATTGTCTGACTATCAGGAAGGTGACAGCATTGAGTGAGGGGTGATTACTCACTGTTTAGTGACTTGGGCTTGGTTTTAATTTAGGATTTGCTCTTTTCACTTGATAATCACTTACCAGCAACAGATCAAGACAAAGGAAATACACATTGATTTTTTTTTTTGTTCCAATCTAAAATTCTATCCCTGGTTTAGATATACAAAGAATTAATACGCAGAGCCTTTCCAGAACAGAAGGGTTTCTGAAGGGATTACTTGGTCTTGAACCCTTTTCTGCTTTAATAACTGCAAACATAATGTGTGATCTGTCTTCCTTTTAGAGCAAAGCCGGAGAGATGATTTGGAAGCCCTAGGCCATATGTTCATGTATTTCCTTCGAGGCAGCCTACCCTGGCAAGGACTCAAGGTATCCTTGAAAGTGCTCAGTGGAGGGTTTTGTTTCAATGCTCAGTTGTTAACGAACAAGCTGCTGGCTAGATGTCTCTAAGAAGCACAAAGGGGAAGGTTGGCAACAGAAATGAGAAGCTGGGACTGGTTACATTAGTCTACATTACATTAGTCTACATTGTAAATTCTCACTTAGGCTTTGGGAGCTCTGTTTTGTTCACATTTGTCTTCTTTCCTTTTCATTTTTCCTAGATTTGGGATTTACCGTATTCTTTTTTCTCATTCCCTCCCAGCCCTGGCATTGCTGCTTTTTTCTGTGTTAATATTCCTCCTCCACTACCATTATGT